TGGTGTACAAACTGTTGCACAGGTGTTGTACAGGTTGTTGTACAGGCTGGTATTCAAACTGTTGTACAGGCTGGTGTACAGGTTGTAGAGGCTGGTGTAGAGGCTGGAGTACAGACTGATATACAGGTTGTTGTACAGGCTGGCGTACAGGGTGTTGTACAGGCTGTTTGTGCAGGCTGGTGTACAGGCTGCTGTACAGGCTGTTGTAAATGTTGTACAGGCTGGTATACAGGCTGTTGCACAGGAGTTGTACAGGCTGGTGTACAGGATGGTGTACAGGCTGCTGTACAGGCTGCTGTACAAGCTGGTGTACATGCTTGTGTACAGCCTGGTGTACATGCTGGTGTACAGGCTGGTGTACGTGCTGGTGTACACGCTGGTGTATAGGCTGGTGTACAGGCTGGTGTATAGGCTGGTGTATAGGATGGTGTACAGGCTGGTGTATAGGCTGGTGTACAGGCTGGTGTATAAGCTGGTGTACAGGCTGGTGTATAAGCTGGTGTACAGGCTGGTGTATAGGCTGGTGCACAGGCTGGTGCACAGGCTGGTGTACATGCTGGTGTACACGCTGGTGTATAGGCTGGTGTACAGGCTGGTGTATAGGCTGGTGTATAGGCTGGTGTACAGGCTGGTGTATAGGCTGGTGTACAGGCTGGTGTATAGGCTGGTGTACAGGATGGTGTACAGGCTGGTGTATAGACTGGTGTACAGGCGTGTGTACAGGCCGGTGTATAGGCTGGTGTACAGGCTGGTGTACAGGCTGGTGTATAGGCTGGTATATTGGCTGGTGTACAGGCTGGTGTACATGCTGTTGTACAGGCTGGTGTACAGGCTGGTGTATAGACTGGTGTACAGGTTTGTGTACAGGCTGTTGTACAGGCTGTTGTACAGGCTGATGTATATGCTGGTGTACAGGCTGGTGTATAGGCTGGTGTACAGGCTGGTGTACAGGCTGGTGTATAGGCTGATGTACAGGCTGGTGTATAGACTGGTGTACAGGCTTGTGTACAGGCTGTTGTACAGGCTGTTGTACAAGCTGATGTATATGCTGGTGTACAGGCTGGTGTACAGGCTGGTGTACAGGCTGGTGTACATGCTGTTGTACAGGCTGGTGTATAGGCTGGTGTATAGACTGGTGTACAGGCTTGTGTACAGGCTGGTGTATAGGCTTGTGTACAGGCTGGTGTACAGGCTGGTGTATAGGCTGGTGTATTGGCTTGTGTACAGGCTGGTGTACAGGCTGGTGTACAGTCTGGTGTATAGGCTGGTGTACAGGCTGGTGTACAGGCTGGTGTATAGACTGGTATACATGCTGGTGTACAGGCTGATGTACAGGCTGGTGTACAGGATGGTGTACAGGCTGGTGTACATGCTGGTGTACAGGCTGGTGTACATGCTGATGTATAGGCTGGTGTACAGGCTGGTGTACAGGCTGGTGTATAGGCTGGTGTACAGGCTGGTGTACAGGCTGGTGTACAGGCTGGTGTATAGGCTGGTGTACAGGCTGGTGTACAGGCTGGTATACAGGCTGGTGTACAGGCTGGTGTTTAGGCTGGTGTACAGGCTGGTGTACAGGCTGGTGTATAGGCTGGTGTACATGCTGGTGTACAGGCTGGTATACAGGCTGGTATACAGGCTGGTGTACAGGCTGGTGTACAGGCTGGTGTACAGGCTGGTGTACAGGCTTGTGTACAGGCTGGTGTACAGGCTGGTATACAGGCTGGTATACAGGCTGGTGTACAGGCTTGTGTACAGGCTGGTATACAGGCTGGTATACAGGCTGGTGTACAGGCTGGTGTACAGGCTGGTGTACAGGCTTGTGTACAGGCTTGTGTACAGGCTGGTGTACAGGCTGGTGTACAGGCTGGTGTACAGGCTGGTGTACATTGGAATCTATTTTTTCTAATATCTAAATAGTTTCTTTAAATCTTAGAGCTTTTTTATTTTTTATTTTTCATATACTTTTAAATGCGAAAATGTAATTAATATCCAATTTTTCCACAAATGTCTTGATCATTACATATTTTTTTATTTAATATTTTTTTTTACTCTAATTTGGTACATTTACATTATTTTTACTTTCAAGCTTCAGTAAATAATATATGAAAATAAGCTCATTTTAATGTCTCAAAAAGCAGCTATCGTGGGTTAGTTTTGAATTGTTCCAGCTACGATATTGTGGAGTAGGTGAGACTATTTATAGCCATCGTATTGTAGGTTAATTGAGAATTGTTCCAGCCACTGTATTGTGGGTTGGTTGTGAATTGTTCCATCCACGGTATTGTGGGTTCGTTTTGAATGGTTGTAGATACTGTATTTTTTGATATTTAAGAATTGTTCCAGCCACCGTATTTAGGGTTAGCTGAGAATTGTTCCAGTCACCGTATTTAGCGTTAGCTGTGAATTGTTCCAGCCACCGTATTTAGGGTTAGCTGTGAATTGTTCCAGCCACTATATAATGGGTTAGTTAATTAGGTTTCATTTGCCTTATTAACCCCAGAGAGTTAGCAATCCTGGATAACCCAGGGAAGCCAATAATATGGCTTATTTCTAATCGGGTCTTCAGTTTCCTTCCCCAAGATGACATCTCCAGCAGTCGACTAACACCCAAACAACTATTTATTGCTAGGTGAACATAGGAAGCTGGAGTAAGATTAACATCCAGGTACCCACTTACTGCTAGGTGAAAAAGGGTCAGGAAATGTTAAAATAATTAACCACACTAGTTCCACCTCGTGTGATGTGCGTCTCCACTTCTCACAGTTCATTCTTTATAACTCACGAAATCGTAATGACACAATTGCAAACAAACCATACCACGGGTGGGGTTAGAACCCACGATCAGAGAGTCATAAAACTCCTGACCGACGCGTTAGCCACTGGACCCCGCCCGTGGTATGTTTTTTTTTTTTTCATTCTTTATCATTGCGTAAATATCACATAAATGTATAAATGTCATATATATCCGGGGCAGCCATACAATAGTGTACGATCAATTTTTAATTTTTACAAAAATATTTCAAAAGCAGATTACAAACACTATATTTCACATATGTAAAACATTAGAGAATTTATAATTTTATAGGATTTTTTTCTGTCCAACTTTTTAATTCAACAAAACATTTGCAAAAAAAATATGCATTTAATCTATTTCAAAGACCACAGACTGATAGTATAAAAAGGTGACGTATAGACTTAATATTCCTCAAAGAGTCTATGGATTTTAAATCTAATTCACCAACCAATCAAATTCCAAAACTGAGAAGATATCAAGGCATCAGAGGATGACACTGAGAGTTATCAGGTAAAACTGACACCCATACACTGAAGCTTAATACAAAACTTCCCTTCATTATTACTGGCATTACACACAGACTAACGCTTGCACAAGGTCCCTTGATGGTGGTGAAGAGCTCTTAATTCAAAGAATTGGAGTTATACTCCACTTCCTTACATCAGACCGGATTACCTCCCATTCTCCAGGGTGCTAGTGTTGGAAAGCTGCAGAATGCGGCTTTTCAACAAATTCTACTGGGTTTTGTATAATTTCTTCCAAATAGTTTTTAATCTGTTTGTTATGTACATAAATTATGCTCTATGGGATTTATTTTTTGTAGTTTACTTAAAACTGCAGTGAATTTTTTCGAGGCTTTCGGAGTATGATTTTATTGAAGTTTTTTTTATTATATGGATCACAATTTTGATCACTATCATCGCACCAGACCAGGTAGTCAAGATCACACTGTGGGTCAGTCACAGGGTAAAGATATAACAAAGTACGGGAAGGTGTAAACTGATATAGGAAAAGGTGTAAGTTGGAGGCTTTATACACGCCCAAAGCAATCAAGACCACCTGACTACCTCCCAGCTATCACCACACATGGCTTTTCCTGTAACATGTAAATATATTTGTCAACATGAGAGCAGGGGACGCGACACCTGCACCAGAAAACTTTTGTTGACTTTACACAGGAGAAAAAAAATACATACTGTTCGAATCAAGTGTTACTTCTGTTTACGTGTTTGATTCTGTGATACATTCGTGTGCAAGTGTGTTTGTGTTTACTCACCTAAATGTGGTTGCAGGAGTCGACTCAGTGCTCCTGTGTGTGTGTGCGCGCGCGTGAGCCTAAACACTAACGATACAAAATTAACAGGCAACACTTCCATAATGTTCACTCCGTATTAATTAACTAACCCAGATTAACAGAGACATTTATTAACTTCCAGCAACAGTACAGATGTGTCCTACATCTCTACAAAGATGTCTCCTGTAGATATTTCATCCGAAGATGATGTTATATTCTGATGCAACACGCACTTCTCAGTATGTTAGAGTAGTGAAGACTGTAAAAGCATCACCACTCATTAGTGTCTAGTAGAGCACTCGACAGCACTTAATGGCTCATATTATTAAAACTCTCCTCCGGGGCAGACCGATTCATTTTGCTAGTGATTCAGAAATCTCACAAAACTAAATTTCAAATGTGTCGAAGTTTAAGCAGCTCGTTTAATGTTTAATGTAATGTTTAGTAATAACAATTTTTCTAATATTGTTGTTAAATCTGCCCAGAGAAATTTTAATAAATGTGGTCGTCTGCACTCATGCACACACAACTGGCAGCTTGTAGTTTCTTGGGCCCGCACGTGAGTCTTGGGCCCAAATCTGTCTTGGTGAGGACATAAAATCAAAACATTTTACATCCCCTTTTTGTCATTACCGAACAGGTTCCTAATGGATTCATAAATGCAAGATTCCCTAAGTTTCGTGCAAAGTCTCCAATATTTTCTATTGATATTTTTTTTATGTAATAGTCCTCTAGTCCTTTGCAGATTTCGACGGAGACGCTCTTCAAAGAGCTGCCAGCAGAAGGGACCACAATGGAAGTCATCTTACATCAACAATATCTAACGTCTTCTGTGAGACTCGTTTCGTATTTCGTGTTAGTGGTGTGTTCTCTAATTACCTCTGAGAGCTGATGGTGGTGCCTCCCTTGCAGGGCCCGCTTCCGCGAGACCCGATCCATCTTCAACACCCCCAACCCCCGCCTGATGAACGCCTCGTTGTTCAAAGACAGTAAGTTGCTGAGTCCTGCCCGGGGAGACCGTCGGGGGTCAAGGGCCAGCGTGCGTGTCCCGTCAAGGGCCCCCTCCGTCACCTCCGTCAACGCTGCTTCCCGGTCTCCCAATGGCTCTCTGGCCAAAGGTTAGAGTCGTTGGGGCGTGGCCAGTCCCTCACAACATCCCTCCCACCCTCACTCCAGTCACCGCTCCCTCCACGAGTTACCCTATGCTGAATGATAGGCAGCAAGAGGGGGTTTTGGGAGCCCCCCCCCATACCCTCTCACTGCCACATACACCCAGGGCACTCCGGAGTGGGGCGACTGCATATTCAAGCAGTTGCTTCTGCTTACCAGAGCAGTGCGTGATCTCTACCACTGACGAATGAAATTTTTGCATTATGCATTTTTACTATCGGCCTTTTTAGACAAAGTCGCCAGGTCATGAACTATAACTACTAAAGTTCCATTTCTTGAATGCCTTACTATTGGCTTGCATGCCTAATATAATCACAGTAACTTTTCTAAACCCAGTCATGGAATGTTTACAATAGAGAATGACCTTTAAAAACAAAAAACAAAAAATCATAGTCAACTGCTCTAAGTTGTCACACACTTGTATAATCTGTGGTGTCGTCCTTCCTTCCCCAACCCCTCCCTCGTCCCCATCTTTCCCCCTACTGTGCCTTCCTCAACACACCACCACCATCCCCCCACCCCAACTTCTCCCCACACGGCCGCGCGTGTTGCCGCCCGCAGTAGCAGTTGCTGTATCATACCAGCGCCTGCCCTCCCTGGAGTCCCCATAGATGATGCCGCCCTCCACCACTAGACGGCGGTTGTAGCGCGGCGGTTGCCCAAGGGAGGTGAAACCAGCGCCGCCACAGCCGCCGCCCTCCCTCATAGCCGCCGGACCCCACCCTCAACTTCTCTGTCCTTGATAAAAACTTCTCCCCCGAGACATTCACCAACACTTGCACAAACAAGTTGCACCGCGTCCTTAGTAATAAAAACCTTAAGGACTTGACAACTTCTTTGGGCAGGACACAAGAGGTCTTGAGACTGTTGCTGTTTGGGTGAGTTACTCCTCATGGTGAGTTCTCCCTCACTCTGTACGTCATTGGAAACTACCACGTAAAAACAAGACGTAGGATTATATTATCATAAAAATTCAAGACCATTAAAGGCTATAATAACCCCGGTATATATAGTATTAATCAAAATCTTTAAAATTAATTTCGGTAAATAATACAAATTAATAATTTGAGTTTAATCAATATACATTATCAAAAACATTATTTAAACAAAAGAATAATACAGTATTAAATCAAATACTTTTCCAAATTACAATAGAAAACAACTCACAAATAACCCGCACATAAGAGAGAGATAAGCTGATGATGACGTTTCGGTCCGACTTCCGTGTCGGACCGAAACGTCGTCATAAGCCCCCCCCCTCTCCTATGTGCAGGTTATGTGTGTATTGTTCCAGTCACTGTATCGCAACTTTCTTGCTCTTGAAGAAAACAATTACCTTTCCATTTTAATAACAAAAATAGGAAGATTTTCTTCTAGCTTCACGTGTCAGTACTTACGAAGTTACCAAAATAAGCAAAAAATAACTCATAGGGGGTCTGACCCACTGAGTTACTGTGAGTGGAGAGTTAAAAATGACGTACAGAACTTACCACGGCACTCCACCACTAAGCCAGCACGGCCCACTCCTGCATGCCCAACCTCCCGGTAAGTGGATGGTCTGTTTTAGCCTGCATGACTCCTCTCCCACCTCTACCACACCACCTGAGAGCCACCTGTGCAACACGAGACACGCAATACACCAGCTGAGACACAGCCCTGCTGGAACACCACATCGACCTGGAACTTCAGGGAGACATGTAACATCATTTCAATCTTAGAAGAGACACCCGTATGCTCTGATTAAGTCGCCAAGGAAAAGTTTCGCCAGAAATGGGGTTTTTATGTTATATAACTAAAAGCTTTCAGTGGAAAAAAGTTGAAAGTTCCCATCACCTTCAAAAAAAAATTACTTAAAAAGCCACCCTCAGAAAGTGAAAATACTTTGTAATGTCATGGTATTTAATTTCGTATAAAAATATTAACCTATTAAGATATTAAATTTTTCGCCAGTTGGGGTGAAACGTTCCCTTGATAAATGTCTTCATCAGTGCATATGTTTATATTTTGACTTACAGGTCATCGGTATCACCATACCAGTGGTACCAAAGGCCACACTTGGTGGGGAAACTACATTGTTCCACCGTTTCTTCACACACGAATATAGCACACGAATGGACACCAGATCGGCATGAATGTTACCACACTTTTTCTTACTGTTCTGCGCTGAAGAAGATAACACCAGTGGTAGTTAACGTAACACGCGTGTTAACTAGGGTTGATAAAGCACTCACAGACGGGGGAGGGGGTTGAAATAAGTAGAGAGAGGGGGGGGGATCAAGCTTGGGTAGAGAAATAAGAGCTCTGGTAAAACAAGTGACAAAAAACACAAGCTTTTGTCTACTAAAGAACAAGAGTGGGGAAAACGATGCACTAACATGGTAAAATATATGTACCCGAGAGAAAACATGTATGTGTCTCTAAAAAAAAAAATGAAGCGAAATAGACACGCAAGTTACTCCGAAAAAAAAACGATGGAGGGGGAATGAACACAAACCTGTGCCCAAAAAACAAAACAATCTCTCTTCAGTGTTACAGCATCTGTCTGAGTGGGACATTACCTTCCTGTGTGGTGTCAGGAATACAACGAGAGTGAAAACATCCCTCTAACACTCTTACCACGATCAGAAAAACTGTTCATTAGGAGTCACTGTGTCTTACTTTTATGTAGTTAGCTTAACGTAATTTATTTTTGTATTATGATAACCTCGTCCAACAGTTTTCTTTTTCACACATAACTGATAGTTTAATTTTTTTTTAAATCACATTTGCAGCGTGGATAGGTAAATGAAATTTTCGTTATATATATATAAATAATATATATATATAATATATAAATATTATATATATATATATATTATATATATTTATAATATAGTTTAATATGTATATATTATTTCAGGGAGTATAAGTACAGATATAAAAAATATAACAACTCAAAGCAATAATAACTGCCATATTCGTATAGGATTACCAATATAACAACAACACAGATATAAGCAACTTATGCATAACACACTACCATATAATTAATCGTAAGGATCAATAGTACAAAAGAACACAGATATAAAGCATTTATATATATTTTATTACGTTTAGAGATCACGTAGGATCGCAGAGTTCAATGATAGACAGAGTTAAAAAATCCGAGTTTACAACCACAACACGACATAACCACTTCGTAGAGGATTTACCCAAATACAAACAAGCACAGAGACGCCTTTACTGATAACAACAACCCTTATAAAACATCGGATTGGGTAAGAGGGAAGAAGCACAGAGTACAACACTATAGTTCCCGCTCTGTAAGCCATTCTAAGAAACGCAGTTGGACAGTAGTTTCTGCTTTCGCTTGATCTCCTCTCAGATATAACCACCCTTATTGAGGTTCCCAGAGTACCCATAACAACAGTACAGCAACTTTATGAAAAGCACACTTGCGTAGAGGGAGTCCCTACACCTCGCTTCCCAGCTCTTGTAAGGCCGTTCGTTGACGCATGTTGGATAGTAGTTCTGCTTCGCTGTGTATCTTCCTCTCAGGATATATCCAGCCCTTAGTTGTGTTCCCAGCTCCGTTCCTACCAGCTTCTAGCTGTGTTCCTAGCTCTTAGCTCCTACCAGCTTCTAGCTGTGTTCCTAGCTCTTAGCTCCTACCAGCTTCTAGCTGTGTTCCCAGCTCTTAGCTCCCACACAGCTTCTAGCTGTGTTCCTAGCTCTTAGCTCCTACCAGCTTCTAGCTGTGTTCCCAGCTCTTAGCTCCCACACAGCTTCTAGCTGTGTTCCATGCTAGCTCTTTTTAGCTTACCTACCAGCTTCTAGCTGTGTTCCCAGCTCTTAGCTCCCACACAGTTTCTAGCTGTGTTCCCAGCTCTCAGCTGTGACACAGCTCCTAGCAGTCTAGCTCTCAGCTGCTACATAGCTCTCAGCTGTATACTAGCCTCTCAGCTCAAGTAGATGAAACTCGTAGAATTAGCTAACTTAGGGCAACATTATTTTCCAGTATTTTTAAAGGTAAACAATACGATCTTAGTTTAAGATAAACAAACATGTAACATCGAGCTGTAAATTATTTACATAGTAAATGATATTTAGCTGTGTCTTTTGCACATAATTTGTATTGTGGAATTCTGCATTATTATTATTAATTTACAGATAAGGGAATAAAATATTGTCTCCCAAATTTTAAATTATATATATTTTTCAACTTGAAATGCTGTTTTTTTTTTTAAATCACGAAAATGTTAATAACATTATGTAATTAGTTTTTAAGTCTCTAACATCCTCAATAAAAAATTATGGTGTTTGAAAAATAATAACTAAAAAATAAAAAATAATCATAACATTAAATAAAATATAAAATGTTTTAATCGATATGCAAAATTCATCTCAATACAATAATATATATATATAATATATATATATAATATATATATATATATATATATATATATATATATATATATATATATATATATATATATATAATATATATATATATATATATATATATATATATATATATATATATATATATATATATATATATATATATATACATATATATACGTAGACAATTATAATGTGTCACCTGCATATTGATCTAGTGGAAGTTAAATGTTAATCTGAAGCAAGCTAGATATTGATCTAAGAACAACTAGCCAGTGATCAAGGGTTAGGTAGCTGTTATTTTAGGTCTAGTGCCTGCTAGCTTATTATCTTTGATCAGTTTGCTATCACTGTCAACTTGTTGCTATAAATAATAGGCCTTGTTAAAAGTCAGAGACCTTGTAATAAATCATAGGCCTTGTTATAAATCATAGGCCTTGTTATAAATCATAGGCCTTGTAATAAATCATAGGCCTTGTTATAAATCATAGGAATTGTTGTAACTTCTTGTAAGTCAAGGTCTGACACTTACTTTCAGTCAGGCATTGCTATTAGTCAAAAACTG